TTCCTTTGCTGTGCCGTCAGACTCAAAGGCCAGCACATAGGTCAAGTTATTATCTCGGTCCGATGCTGGTGGCTCGAGTTTCGCGGGCTTCCACAGTGTGTCTGTCACAAGGGGATCGACAGGTTGCCACCTTTGATGTGCAACGTCGAGAACCTCGACCCAGTACACCGGATACGGAGACTCGCGGAGCGGTTTGTGGATTTTGACGGGCCGCGACGTGCTAGGCGCTGCCGTCATGGTCGGCACGCGGTATGCTGTCGCGTTGGGATGGCCGAGCCGCCTCCTGGCCGAGGGTGTGGCCGGTGAAGGCGCCATTTCTTGTTTGGCTTTGGCGAGACGCTGCATTTCCTCTGCCTTGGCTTTCGAAGTCGACATTTTGACTGTTTGAGGCTTCGGCAAGGTTGGACCGCCGGCTGTGAAGCTCAGCGGTTGAAAGGAGGCCACTAGGCGAGTCTGCACACCTGCTGACCGTAGCAACGCACAAAGCAGCTGTGCACCCGTGTCGCGTGATCCTTCGAGCGTTCGGGCCGCAGTCTGAAAATCATCTCTCCCGATACACGAGTCCATGTCGTCTGGGGGTTCATACTAGGAATCGGTCAGGAACGGCTCTGAACATAATGTTGCGATGTACGAAGGGAAAACTGTCGTCACCTTTTCTAGATGTTCAGGTGCTTCAGCCCAGAGGCAACGACGGAGACCACGTTCGGTCACCTGGTACTTGGCCTTGAAGGTACGGCCGATTTGTTCGAGACCGTCCTTCAAGGACTCAGTTTGGCCAAACTGAGACAGGTTCGGTCTCGGCTTCAGCAGAGAGGCGACCTTCTTTGACAGCAACGGACGCAGGCGGTTCTGCACCTCACTGTCGTTGCACCACCGGTTTCTCCGCGCCGTGTGAATCAATAAGCATAACAAATGTGATTTGTGGGCGTGAATCCGGAGGTCTCTCTCCGCCTTGGTGATTGGTTTTCGTCTCTCTGGTGCCTTTGGCGCAACTGCTCGATGCGCTGTCAGGTTCAGCTCGAGGTCGGCTCGGGGTGCGGCAATGATGGGGCTGGTCTGCATAGGTACGATGGGCACATCTTCGAAGATCATCTCATCGTCCTCGTCCTCCTCATCAGTGTCCAGGTACATCGTCTGAAGGTTTGGCGCCGGAATGGGTACATCTTCAAACTCGAGCTCATCGTCGCTGTCGTCGTCCTCCGAGACCTGCTCCGTCTTGGGAGTCTTCGGCGCCGCAGCTGGTGTCGCCGGCCTCTCACCTGGCCGTCTACGCTTCCTTGGTGACTCCTCTGCGAGAGGCGGCGTAGACGGGCCGGCACCAGCCTCGGCCAGCAAATCTTGGTATACATCCGGGAGGTCGCTTCGGGACGTCTTCGACCTCGAGGGCGCCTTGCGCTTGCGGCTGGCCATCCTTCAGGCGCGGCGATGATTGCGCGACGCCTTGGACGTCGAGGCTGAGGGATCCGTCTTACACGCGTTGGCACTCCAATCTCACATTGACTTGGTCGATGCCTAGGAGGATGTCGAGGTGGAGGGCATGGCTGATTCAGCACGACGTCATACTGATGCCGAAGCAGAAACGCGTTCTCACGTGATGCCGGTATGTCGATGAACAAGTGGGGTTTGCTAGGTATATGGCCTGCAATTTACTGACCATGTCATGCCTCAGGATGGTTAAACATTTTCGTGCTCGCTGATGCAATTCCATGCCACGGTACATGCCTTATTCAATAGGCAGATCGACAGCGAACAACAGTTGCTTGATAGCAGAGCAGCACGGACTCGGCATAAGCCAGACAACCAAATGACATGGGTATGTATTTATCAGTATTCCTCGCTGTGATCCCCCGCGACCCCTAGAAAACCCCGAGGAAGCTGCCGAGGTAATCAAACTTGCCTAGCGGCACACCCTTCGCGCGGAGAATTGAGTAGGCGGTAACGAGGTGGAAGAAGAAGTTAGGCAAGCTGTGGTACAGAAGAGCATCCTGCACCGTCAACGTCTTCTTATGCCCAGCGGCAGCCCTGCCAACGTTTAGCTATGAACACGAAATTCCCTGGGATGTCGATTGACTTACAGCTCGATTGACTCTGCGGCACGGCCATTGGCTACCGAAGCGTCCACCGTCTGCACCAGCTCTAATGTGCTCTGAATGCGCTTGTGCAACTCCGCGAAAGTCTGCTCATTGTCTTCGAGAGTTTCCAGCTCCTTGCCCGTCAAACGTGCGAAGGCGATTCGAACGATTTTGGAAACGTTCTGGACTTGGAAAACCAAGGGTTTTTGGTCATCGATCAGACGGGCTTCGACGAATACCTCGTCCACGCTGAGGTTGTTCTCTTTGGCGTACTCTTCCGTCTTGGTGAGGATGTGATGAAAGGTCTTTAATCCTTTGATAATAGAAGGGACCACAGCGTCATACAGGGGGAGTGAGGTCATTTTGGTGGAGGATTTTGCGTGGTGTAAGCGTCTTGTAAAGGTTCGCGTGCTCTGGGACGGAGAGTGTGTATGTATTGGGCTCCAATGAAGAAACAACGAACTGAAGGTGACAAATCAATAAGAAGATGTCAAGGAGTGACAGGTATTTATATATCCCATTTGCTCAGACCGCCACTCCTGAAAGGTTGCGAATTGCCCGCCTGTTTCGGCGTGATGTCGGATTTAATGGCGTGCTAGGTGAGCTGCATATCGCAACTTTGAGGGGCTCGATACTGCATGGCGCGACACCGGCCAAAGCACAACAAATAATCAACAGCTGGCGTATTGGGAGATGAAATGATTCACTAGATAATATGAATTTGTCATCGACTCAGGGTTGAAAGCCAGTCAAGTCAAGGGGGATCCTCTCTCCAAGCCAAATGGCCCGCTCCGTGTGGTTCCTCAGCTCGACGGCCGCCTCATTTCCCTCTTCATCGGTGTTGGGATGCACAAGTGCTGACAAGGGACCTCTGTAGATAGCCAGCCACGGGATAAATGCGCCAAATTGAGCCGGCGTGAACAGGTTGACCTCGAACATGGCGACAGGGTGAGGACCAATGGGCTTGTCCCAGAAGCGGTACACTCGAAGCTCAGGGACTAGACAGGAACTTTTGTTAGTGCTGCCTCATGCGAAGCGAAGCGAGTCCGATGAACAAACTAACACTCTCTCCTGATGCGCTCCCACAGGTCCTTTGCATGCTTGACCTGCGCGGGGTTGTTCTGGAAATGGTAAATGTGAATATCGCTGTCCCTAGTCAGTCGAGTTCAAGTATCCGGCGAATTGACTGGGTGAGAATCACAAGCCACCTCTCGTCCCATTATCCAAAGGTGCAGTGAATTTCTCGTAGCTGTCGCTGAGGCCCTCTCGTGGAGGATTCACAAAGCTCTTTCCATCTTCGCCCAAGTCTGTTGGTAGTGGTGCGGCGTCCTCAAACCGCTGAGCGGCGAAGGGTACTTTTGTAGTGACCCGGCCATTACTTGGTTGTCAAGAAAAAATGGTGCCGACAGCTGGAATCAGTTGCCCAGCAAATGGCGAGTATCCAGAGAATATCGTTATCAGATGAAATGAATGGATGGAGGCTCGTAGGAAGCTTTGGGCTGAGTAAGGAGGCTTAAACTAATTCAACACTGTGGCTCCGGAGCTGGCCTAGGCCATTTGTGAGCACCTCACATCCTTTAATAAGCATGCTTACATTTACATTTCGGGCGTGACAAGCGTACTCCCATTTTCATCGCTAACAGACACGATCGGTCATCAATACAATGGAGAGATCGCGTGACTTTTCAGCCGTCATATGCTTCTGCAGCCCGCTAAACATGACGCTCAGAAACCAAATGTCTATTCCATCCCCATCGGCTCGGATGCGCAGACACGAGCCATAGCATCTTGATTGTTTCACGAGACGCCCAAACCCAAAGCCGTTATTCCGTAGTTATAAACCTCGTTCATTCGCCTGCCGTTTCATCTCTTGATTCCCATGCATTGGCCTCGGCAGCGTCCTAAGCCTCCAACCCCAAGACGACACACGATAACAGACTCGACCTCCTAAACGCCATCCTCATGCGGGGTATCCGATGGTGCCCTCGTTTGAAGGGGGGCTGTTTGTGGTCCCCTCTCAAAGCTCAGACTCCACACCATTGGCCTCCACGTTCATGGGACTTCCATTTTGTGTCTGGCGTTGGGGACGGGCCGCCGCGGGGTCGCGTCTGCGTGCCGCCGAGCCTGTCTTCTCCATGCGTTCATCGCCGTCGTCCGAATCTGGGTGCTTCTCAGCGTAGTGCTTCGCCTCGTCAAGCTCGGACATGTCGCCCGGACGGCTACGAAGCCACTGCATCCTTGGACCTGAACGGGCAAGCTCAGATACGCGGAAACCGTAGATCTTGGGCTCGTAGATGTTTCCGGCACCAAGGCCCGGGCCGATATTTTTGGAGTACATGCCATTGATGGTGTGAAGGCCGTCATCAGCAACACGAGCACCGCCGGTCGCAGGCGGGAGCATCTCGACGGTGTGCTTGGTCAGATCATATTCTGGGAAGGTGAGGAGGAAAAGAGCACCAAAGGTGCGGCCGAAGAAAGCTCCATCAACAGTCTGGAAGCGACTGTTGGGAGGAACGTAGACGTCTAGGCATGATGGGCAGAACAGCTTGACCGTGTCCTCTCCAGGGATATCGGACAGGCCAACGGGCAGCGTTCTCGCCTGACCGCAGTTGGTGCGAGGGCAGTATCCAAAGTGACCGAGCTCGTACTTCTCGCTCATCTGCTGTATGCCGGCGCGAGAGCAGATAAAACGTTGGTGAATCAGACCATAGAGCATCTCGGAGGAGGACTCGATCACGCTCAAATCGCTCGCCATGCGGCTGTGTTGCCTGCGCTCGTGCCGGGCGGCCAAACGCTCCTGGTCTGCCGAGTCGTTATCATCCTCTTCTTCCTCCTCTTCGTCTTCGTCTTCATCATCTTCCGGCTCCACATCGAGGATCATCTGTAGAAGGGGAAAAAAGTCAGTCGGTCAGCGTATCTCACGCGACTGTAGGCCGGGAGGTCACAGAAGTGTCAAGGGAGGGGGGTTCTGGAGGAAATACCTCGAGAGCTTCCTTGTACATCGCAACCTGGGTCTGCAGGCCAGTCAAGTTGAAGTCATCTTCGATGAACTCTTCAGAGACCTCGGCAAAATATTCGTGTCCCAGGAGAGAGCAGAAGGACGATATCCACGACTCGGGAGTCCCCGAAGAGGTAGACATGGCGTCTAGGTACTCCACTTTCGTGGAAAGGTGCGGTTGTCCTAAGGGTGTGGTGCAGACGAGGCGATCGCGGCGTGATGTGTGCGCGGCGATCTGCAAGTCAAATGCGGGCCAAACCGAATGGTCGGGTTGGGGCTATAGCCGGGATAGATCTGGAAGGGTGAGGGTATCGCGGGGTAACGGCAGAGGTGGGCAGTGCTCAGGCGCGGCGCATGTTCATCGGGTAGGAGCAGTGACTCGCATAGCCTGACAGTCGACGGGTACTGATGGAATCAACCGAGTGAGGGATTCCGCAACTGCTGAAAGACGGCAAGTGGCGGGGTTCGATGTGGGTGGGTAGACTGGCGTTGGGTTGTGCTGTGATGCGAACTTTTGGTGAAGCGCAGTTGGTGGGTTACCCGGGCTGTGGAAGGACAATCTCAGGCTGGCCGAGAGTGGGCTACGCTGTGCCTGGGCCTGGGCCTGCCTGCCTGGCCAAGTCTGTGTGTGCGTCGCAAGAGGCGGACTTGGTCCGTGCAGCGCACCCGACAACACCAGGCAGGCGGGTCACATGATGGTCATTGAAGAATCAACTGGTTCAGGTGTTCGACTTGGAAGGTAGCATCTAGTAGATCGCCCTTGGGTCTTAACATATTCGCCCATTATGAGAACTCTTACGAATACATGTCGTCGGCAGTTGGTGAGGCATACGATGCCTCGGGCTTGTCGCCGCGCTGCAATAACGACACTACAGGTGCGCGCGGTCGATTTGGCTCCCGCCCCTTACGACCGAGTCGGCATCGCCCAGTTTCGAGAGGAAGCTTTCGGGCCAGCCCGTCCTTTGTTTTTCAAGGCAGACAACAGACCACTCAGTCAAACGTTCATCCCTGCAGCCTCCAAATGGTTTGAAGCTGGGCACGGCACATCGGGTGCTTCTTTCAGCCCTTACATGGAACAATTTGCCCACCATCTTTTCCCCTACGAGCTCATCAGTCCTCAGCTCTCGGAAAATGATGGCGTAATAGTCGACAGCGTGAAACAATTTCTCAATTGGCTTACCGCGAGCTCCAATCCCATGGATACCGTGCTGGCGGGCATAGTTCACTCCGCTCTCCCTCCATCAACCGACTCTGACGCTCAATTCTGCCCCATCGAGGCGCCATTCTTGCTTCTCCTGAAGGCCGTTGAGTACAACAAACTCCAGGACGCGAGCATCAAGAAGCTTTACATTGCACAATCACAATTAGTCGGACTTCCCCCGTCATTGCGCGAAGACTTACCAACCCCAAGGATTGTCAAGGAGACGGGCAAAGGCGACATCTACAACTCAAGTATCTGGATGGGCGTGGAACCAACTTACACGCCACTCCACCGCGATCCTAACCCCAACCTCTTCTGTCAGCTGCACAGCAGCAAAACAGTTCGACTTATGCCCCCCAAGTCTGGCGAGGCACTTTACCGACAAGTACAGACTAAGCTCGGTCGAGCTGGCAACAGTCGAATTCGTGACGCTGGCATGATGGAAGGCCCTGAGAGCGTCATGATGAATGCTGCCGTGTGGGGGGAGGGGGGTGCTGAGGACGTTGTCGAGGCTCAGCTCGAACCAGGCGACGCGCTCCTCCATTCCCCTGAGCTGGTCGCACAGTATTAGAGCATACACCGCGACGGCCGACCTCAATGCTCCTGTCAATTGGTGGATTTCGCTGACCTAGAATGGCACGACAAGTAGATTTGATCGAGCAAGCACCAAATCTGATGAGTATGCAGGAGCACTATCTTACCACCAACAAGATGGCTGCTGAATGCCAGTTGTAAAAGACCCAGAACTGGATTCCTCATCTAAACAAAATCTGCTCCGATAAATTATGTATCTTGAGACGGAGAACACTGCGAGACGAAAGGAACGGTTCCCACATGTCGCTTTATGGCTGATGGTGGAGCCAAAAGAGGGCCGAAGGCAGCTATTCCGTCCTGTGAGTCACCCTCCCCACAAATATTGCGCACAGAATGATGGCATCATAAACGTATCTACAGATCCATTTCAGCAACTCTCAGAAAAGCAACTTGGCGCAGCGGAAGCGCGCCGGGCTCATAACCCGGAGGTCGGACGATCGAAACGTCCAGTTGCTAGACTTAACTTTTGCTTTCACCCACATTCTCGAGTGCTGCGGTGAAGTCATATCTTTTCTTCCAGCGCACGTGAATGGTTTGGTTTTGGTTACTGCCCGTTGAAAGGCAGGTTTAGACAAGCCTGCGATTCTGTTTGGACGGCCAACTTCTGTTTCCGTGCTGGAATTTGTAGTGATCACTATATGAAAATATGGGCAGAATTTTCTCGCGAACTCGGTCATAACCTGTGCGACGCTGCGGAACCCCCGCCCATCAGGCATGAAAGTTCTAGGCTTACTGTTTGTTTCTTGAATTTTGGTTTCTACAGCTGATTCGCGAAGAACCTCACTGGTAGACCGCCCTTCCTCGGAATAATCAGACTACGTTTTATGACTCTTTCTTCCAGGCTAGAAACGCTTCAAACCTCAAAATTAGAGATGGTGTGGGGGCGGGGGGAGC